AAATGGTTTGGATATTGAAGTGTTAAATGTATTTATCAGTGTAGGTATATTATGAAATCGAGAGCAGAAATGAAAATTGTTATATTCATATTGGGATAATTCCATGTTTGGTCATTTGAGAAGAAGAGAGACAATATTATATTGTTGTAAGTAGAATTTTTAGGTGATACATCTGAAGTCGAAACGCCTGGAAATGCCTTGCTCTATCAACATGGAACACAACTGACTCTTGTTCATAAAGTATGAAAGTATATTTCGATGTATCAGGGTTCATGATCCGAGTTGATCTATGTCGACGTTAGTTCCAACAAGTCGAATTTCAGAAACAACCTGTATTTTTAGCATGCCCAGTATGATTTATACTATTTCCAACATTAGAATGTGTAATAACGAATAAACTTTATGTACGTAATGAGCTAAAATAAAAATAATAAAAAATAGAAAGTAACAAATCTTATATTTTTCTGTACCGATTTCCTAAATTGCATTCATACGAATTAATAATGAATCGAACAGTGAATTCGAGTAGTACTTACAAACGGGCCACAGACCGCGTAAGATCGTTTCTTCATCTGTCTCCTCTTCCCTTACCCACACAGTCGCACACTCGCCTGCATGCGCGATTCTTTTGCACGTAGAGAGACAGACAGAGACAGACAGAGAGACAGAGACAGACAGAGAGACAGAGAGACAGAGAGAGACAGAGAGACAGAGAGACAGAGAGAGACAGAGAGAGACAGAGACAGACAGAGAGAGACAGAGAGAGACAGAGAGAGAGAGAGAGAGAGAGAGAGACAGAGAGAGAGAGACAGAGAGAGAGAGACAGAGAGAGAGAGAGAGACAGACCGGTCGTGAGTTTAGATATATTCCCCCTGACGGAGTTATCTTGTAGAATACTCCTTCAAACCGAGTGTAGGTCGGCGCCAGATATCACGTACTAGCGGACAAGGAGCACCTCATACTGCGATAAAACATGCAATACAGTTACGGGACTTATAACTACTGCAAATGAAGTGCCCGGAAACAAAATACCATTGAATCAATCAAAAACTGAGACGTATTAAAATCCCATATTTACGTTACTCATGTATATACTGGTACAAAATGCGAGGAAAATTTCTGGAAACAAAGGATAGCAACAAATTAAAATATTCATGGCAATCTTCAAACATCAGAAGATTTGAAATAAATACCAGAAAATCATCCATGGGAATTAGAGAAAATATTTTCAAACAAATACATTGCAAATACCGGCGTGGATCAACGGGGAGGGGAATTACGGATATTTCCCCTTCAAAAAAATTTCAGTTACTTTTAAATAACTAGTGGTGCTAAAAAATCACGTACTTTCTCGCCCGCGTTTCCACGTAAAATTTCGCGACAAGTACTGAAATTTTCGAAAAATCGAACATTCACTTATTTTAAAATCTATCTTTAAGGAACAGATTTCATTGAGATAAAAAATCTTTTATAATATTTTAATTCTAGGAAGACTGAAAAAATTTGAACTTTTGCAATTTTCCAAAAATCAGGGTTTTTAACGAACATCAGAGCTGCACCATTCTCTTAAACGTCTTCCACGCTAAGAATATATATAAAAAACGACGGAGCTTTTTTTTAAAAAAAAAGTCCCAAGGGATTCATGTTAAGAACCCCAAAATAAAATAAAGTTTTCAAATTCCTGGGGACGTGATATCAGTCAGATCGAGCGGGGAATATTATTTTTGGAGAAAATTTGTTGACCGGTTTAGCCGCTATCGTTGTTCACAGACGGTCAGACAGACGTTTTGACGACATTCGGTTTTTCAGCTTCAAGAACCCAGAAAACAGATTCTCTCTACAACACGTGTTAGAGGACTTTTCTCTAAGTCTAGCAACTGTGTTTATCCACTGTTTCGTTACCAGGACCCTGAAATGAGAGTTTTTCTGCCGAAATTTGTGTTTTTGTGCGCAACATTACATAACTTTCTTTCTACTCCGATAAAATAATTTCGGATAATCATTAAAACGAATAAAATTGTATCGTAGACTTAGCTGAGTGTAGCCTGCGTCATTCTACATAACCTGTAACATGACACATTTCACCAAAACATTTTGAATAAAAAACTATGTAATGAAGTAACGATTTTAAAATGGCCAAAAACCAAATATATGATAATTATGAATTTCATTAATGTTGTATTTTTTGAAAATCGGCTTAATCTTAGCTGTTTTAAAAATATCTGGAAAAATTCCTATGCATAAGGGTACATTAAATATGTGAGTTAACGGGTGTATAATGGCGGGCGCGCAAACCTTTAATAAAAAAATCCGGAAATTCATCTAAACCGACCGAATATTTATTTTTTATTTAAAGACATATTTCAAGAACAAAGAGAAAGTGAAGACTTGGTGTAATTGTAATTGTAGTAGTAGTGGTAGTGGAAGAAGTAGTAGTATTGGTATTGATGGTAGTGGTAGAAGTACTGGTGGTGGTAGAAGTAGTAGTGATGGTGGTAGAAGTGGTAGTGAAAGTGGTAATGGTGGTAGTAGTGGTAGTAGTAGTAGTAGTGGTGGTAGTGGTAGGAGCATTAGTAGTAGAAGTAGTAGTGGTAGTGGTGGTTGTAGTAGTGGAAGTGGTGGTAGTAGTAGTAATAGTAGTAGTAGTAGAAGTAGTTGTAGTGGTAGTACTAATAGAAGTAGTAGTATTAGGGGTAGTGGTAGTAGGAGTGGTGGTAGTGGAAGTAGTGGTAGTAGTGATAGTGGTGGTAGTGCTGGTAAGGTAGTGGTGGTAGTGGTAATGTAATGGTAGTCGCGGTAGTGGTAGTAGTAGTAGTAGTAGTAGTAGTAGTAGTAGTAGTAGTAGTAGTAGTAGTAGTAGTAGTAATTAGAATTTATATTAGAATTATTGCGCGATGCGACTTTTGGCAAATCGGCAACAAACATTTTCACACAGAGCAGTGAAGTGACATATTTATCAATATAGTTGTTTTCAATTACCATTTTGAAAATGCAGTAATCGAAGTACCTGCATGAGCAATGAAAGTGTTATAATAAACCAATATTTAATAATCATGAGATTGCCCACCGTATAGCGTACAGCCTGGCAGCTGTTCACGTGGCAGAAATTTACTAAATAATAGTAGAGGGTATGAGTGATAAATTCGACAATATAGCAGAGATAAGAATCCATAGGCCTGATATTAAGCAAAGCCCTTGGTTAAAAATCTGACAAGGATGGTTACAAAATCACAATAGGCAACTATCCGATTCATTGCCAGTAGTACATGGGGTCCCGCAGGGACCGATTCTAGGCCCTAATTTCTATACGTCAACGATATGCCGGCGAGGATTTGAAACGGAAGAACAGGTCTTGCGGGTGTTACGAATATTCTTTGCAGTAAAGAAAGCGTAATTAGTACAAAATCAGATGTTTCAAATTGGCTCCGTAATAACAAATTAATAGTAGAAGGAAAAACAATTTCAATACAATCTTTCATCTCAAATAAACGTATGCTAACCATCGAAATAAAACAATGTGCATTTTACATTGGTGAAGATAAACAAACTTTTGTTTCAGTCAATTCGACCAAACCTCAATCGGAAGGTCAATTTAAATGAATTGAATGTTAATTTAGTTATGCTACGCGTTCATAACTAACTTTCTTCTAACTTAGTCAGTCTCCATACTGCTCGATGTGTATATTTTGTGAATGTTCATTCGCACCTGAGATTTGGCTTAATATTCTGGGGAAAGACGTCGTATAGCTCCCAGACCCTTAGATTACAAAAAAATAATTGAACGAATAGTGACCAAATCCCATCCACGTGATTCCTATAAGCCTCTCTTCATGGGGCTACGAATTTAGCGTTACTTTGCCTCTTGCTATACGAATCATTGTTTTTTGTCAAAAATGATTTACTCATATGTGGTAACATATATTCAGCTAACACCGATATCTACAACACTCGACATTGCAATCTTATTCGTCAGGTATCAGTATCAACAGCCCTCTTCAAAAGGTTCCCCTAAAAATACATGTGTATTATTTTACAACACATTGCCAGATGACATTAAACATTTAAATTCGATATACAAGTTAAGTGCCGTGGAAAATATTTTCTGCTGCATAACTTTTTCTATACAATTAGAGACTATACCGAGCACCACAAGAAAAATATTATTATTTTTAACAATGATTTTGAATGTAATAATGTCCATTTGGACTGCATCATTCTAAACAACCTGTAGCAAGTATTGTACCTCAGCTTTTGGGTACTGCTGCCACTCCATCTCGGTCAGTTTTTGTAGAGTGCTCTGAGTAAAATAATCATTCAAATTATCGTTCTCTATGTTCTGATGGCAGGAAGTCCTCCACGATTCCTTGACGATGGGCACGAGGAGGGATAATAGCTAAACCCTGTAGCTGATTCGCCTTTGCAAGAACGTGAACCCCTGAACGGCAACACATTCATGGGTCAAGGAACAAACAATCGTGCCCGAAGCGGGACTCGATCCGCGGCCCTTCGCACTGAAGCGTCTAATCGGTACACTCTCTAAGCCACCTCGGCCAACCATGCTTTTTCGTTTTATTTTTTATTATATAACTTCGCAAATTACTTTATGACAGTCAGTATATCAGCTTTTATTTGGAACTAGCTAAATATTTAGAGAACCTATTCAGTACCAGAAACGAAAATAATTATTAATTAATTTATTTTATAAATAACGACACTAATTAAATTTATTTGTTAAGTTTTAAAGTTTTGTTTAGTTTTAATCGTGGAATCATAAAAGCCTGGGCATATCTTTACATTGTAACGTAAAATTCTTCCCTTTCCTCTGATCACGATCTCGAAGTTTTTTCGTTCAGTTCCCTTTACACCATTGAGCAAATTCTAAAATACTCACTTGCTTCGCAAGACATTCAATGTAACTTTTCCACCGCCACTAAAGTCACTCGCAATTTATTCTGTTCTTTTCAAAACATGTATATAAATTAATGTTCGAAATGAACCGTGGGGAAAATCGAGAACCAAATCCGGCTATGATGATAAAGAGGACCGGTGATAAATCGTTCGTTAATACACTTCGTAACAGTATGCACTCATTCTCCTTTGGAGCGTTGTAGTTCAGTATTTGATTCGGTTCGCATACAGGCGCTACGTTCTTTATTCCAAGGCATTGCGTTGAGAAGTGTAGATCTCTTCAATCCCTACCGTTCTTGAAAAGATTTAGGGAATAGTTTCGCGTTGTTGAATTATTTTTGACAAATTTTGGTTTGTGAGGATGACTATTTCTTGGGAAAACGTCATTTTGTCATGGGTAAGTAATTCGTGTCGGTACATGTACTCGTAAATGTTAATATCTCAATTTTGGCTGCTGTATGACTTGTTTATGTATTTTAAGGGATTGATGTAGTAACGAGATAAGCCACACTTGAATCAAAATCGAGAGACCGACATTACGTATAGCGTGAGACTAATTATTATTGATGTGGCCTGTTTTGTTACTTCAAGTTCTTGAAATGTCTGTCTTAAGCGCTGGGGAATTTTTACTACACAAAGTATCCCTATGAAGATTTCTTCAGGAGAATACTATCGGGCTGTTTTCTTGTGTGCGATTTTCTTTAATTTTTCATATCACTGGCCTTCACTGTTTATGCAAGGGTGTCAAAATGCAAGTGCAGAGGTTTTTCGTTAATAAAAAGGCAATCAAATGTTAATTTCCAGGTAAATGTTTGTGCTGTTTGTTCTGATCATATCAATACATCCGAAGATTTGTCTGATGGGAAATTACTCGAGTGTTTCGTGTAAGTATTTCTTCTCATTTGATGTATATATTTGGTAAATTTCGTCTTCAAATTTTTTAATGATTTTAAGTAACAGAGAAAATATATTTGTGGCAATTTTATATTGTTTATTCCTGAATCCTGCATCAAGTTTGACAGTTGTAGGGAGATTGTTCCTTCCAGGAATATTTCATTATAATGGTTGTTTCATGACAACTTTTAGTTTTCAAATGAATAGGGAAATCATTAAACATGATTTTAAAATGTATTATGCATTCTAATGAATATATTTGGAAAATTGGATTGGTGCTGAGCTGAGAGATCAGATTTTTTCCTAAATCATTATAGTTAAATTAGACATATTTTCACACGAACCTTCAGGAGTTCATTTAGTAAAAGCTTGTATGAAGAAATGCACACTGTAATAACTACCAACCTTTACAGACTTACAGATAAATATTAAGTACATTTATTAAAAAAGTGTGTGTTGCTCCAAAATTCTTTTATATATAATTTTTGTTTTACACTAATACTCTTTATTTCATAATTTTCAGAATTTTAACAGCCTGGTGTCATTTCTTCTAAGTACTAAGAATTGTACATACTCATTTTTTGTTTTCATTTAATTTCGTTCATGACAGTGCTGTTTTTTCTCTTATAGGCCATCATGTACGAAATATGCTGGAGATAATTATCATCAGAAGACAATTAAATTTATTCAAAGTGAGTAATCATATTTTAAAATACTTAAATGCATTCTTATGTATTTCAATTCTTCAATGTGCCTTCTACTTGAAGAAATGGTTACCAGACATACATTGTTCTGTTTGTTACAAGTAAACTTATGGGCACTTTAAAGCAAAACTTATTAAAACTTGATTATTTAAAAATATTTTTCAGTACTCGAAAACATTTAATTAAAACGTAGGTTCTAAAAAATTGATTTTCCTTTTCTGGAAAAGCAAATAAAGCTTTCACTAATTTACTTCAATTTCTCTATTTTTAACAGGAGAGTATCCTCTCTTCTGGTCACAGATACCTTCAGAATTACAAAAGGAAGATACCTTGATAATATATTCCCTCTTAATTCATTATTACAGTTTCATAGACGATCCAGTAATGCGAAATAAAATGTGTTCCCTTAGCAACGGTTCTCAAATACAAATCAAACGATTTCTGGAATTCCTTTTGAACAAGGATATTACAAAAGATGCTGTTACAATGGCGATAAAATCGTGTTGTGGTATGTACTTTTTTACTCAAATTTTTAGTTAAGTTTAGGAATGACGGAAATAGAATGACATCCATTTCTAAATATAAAAAAAGATTAATTTATGTCTTTAATTTTGTTAATGTATTTAACTTTTTAAATATTAAAATGTTCAGAATTTCTTCATATATAGAACTTATCATTTCTTATCATTTTTGGACGTCTGAGGATATTGTAGTGCACTTTCACGGAAGATAATTGAACAAATAGTTCTGTTTCCACTGGTGTATAAAGGCCCAGGGGAGGGGTCGTCCCATCCTCAGAAATCAATGATACCTATTCAAAAATATTGAATTTACTATTTTACGACTATTTACTAATTGGAATTTCAAGAATCTTTTGACCTGATAAAAAAATTATCAGTTCCCAATCAGGAGGACGAGCCATGTCCAATGACCCATCCTAAGTCTCGATTGGTGCACGGGAAGTGGTCTATCTGTGAGTGCAGGAACCGCACATCCGCACTCTCGAGGTGTTACTCAAATATTATATAAGGATTTAAAAGTGTGAACATGTTAAAAAATTGTGCGTGTTAAAAAATACGATGTGGAATAGCTTGAATATCACTGCTGCTAGATTTAAGTGCTGGCGTTCTCGACGGACAGGCGGAGAAGTAGACGAGCGGACAGGCGGAGAAGTAGACGAGCGGACAGGCGGAGAAGTAGACGAGCGGACAGGCGGAGATTTAGACGAGCGGACAGGCGGAGATTTAGACGAGCGGACAGGCGGA